ATGGCGCACTCAAAGGGCGGAGCTTTTTACTCAAGCAAACACAAAAGATCTGTGAAAGTTGTGCTACATAGAGCTTGGCACCTACTTTGTAAATGCATAGTTTAAAAGATGCTCAAGGCTCATACTGTGCTTAGCCTAAAGAGCGACGGAAAACAAGCATGTACAAATGGCATGGACTGCAAGAAGATGCATGCACTTCAGCAAGGATCCTTATTATAAGGACCCCAAAATTCAGGCACCCCCCCTGATACGCCGAGGATTCAAGAAGATGCTGGCTCCATGGAGCAGTCGGAATCAGAGGCAAATGCCATTGAATGCCATCTCCACCAATGCACCGACTGAGAACTCCAGGGGCCTTTCAACGGCTCTTTCGAAGAGCTCCCGGTCGGCTATCATGCGAGATGCATCTTTCAGCCCGGGCCTTGCTTCATAGCCCAGATCCGGAAGAGCATGCCGTTTTTGTATTGCGAAGATGGCCACACAGCATGGCAGGTCCAGGGTTCGTTTTCTGGGTGGTAGTATCGCCCCGTATGGCGCGTGGGGTGTTTCATGCAGACGGAGTAACTTTCAACCCAGGTGCCACAACAGGCCTTTCGACATCTACGCCGCCATTTTTCCTTGGCCGCCCCTTGCTGTCCCGATCGGCATGCTTTCGAGCAATTGGTTAGGGATATGCAGTGGGCGATTTGCCTCCGATCACCTTTGGTGCCTTTGGTGCATACATACTTGCTTACTGATCTCGGTTTGCATTTTTACTCGTCTTGTCCTTCCTGGTGTCGAATCATTGCTTTTCTGTAATGATTCGTGAAGGCTAAATCTCAAAATTGTTGGGTGATCCCTCGTTTTGGAAAAATTGAGTGTCACAAGCACAGAGGTGTTTGCCATGTTTCTGTCCGTGAGTTGGCGGACACATCGGAAAACCCATCCAAAATCATGCAGAAACCACGATTCTCAAACCATCAAGTTGCCACACACCCTACATAGATTGAAAAACAAGCATGCCTTTCGTTCCATTGGCGTGTCCATCCTTGCGCGTGGGTTTTCATATTGATTTGTCCATTGTGTCACGTTCCTTGTGCACGGTTCTCATTTGCCGATCTCCTCAAGCAAAGTCCCAACGAACTACCGAGTCGACTTGGCGAGACATAAGCGGGTTTACGGTTGAGGCTTCTGGCTTGCAGGTAAGTCCCACGAAGTCGGCGAGTGACCTGATAGAAAGACGAAAGGGTGATGGATACATGGGGCGGGAGTGCCATGTATCTGCCGTGCGTCTATCTATCTATCTATCTATCTATCTAACTATCTATCTATCTATATACATTTTTTACTTATTTGTTCACTTATTTAGGGTGCCATATACAGTATTATATATATATAGACTTGATATAGATGATGTGTATGAAAAGCATGCGCCCGCACGCGCACACATACATACATACATACATACATACATACATACATACATACATACATACATACATACACACACACATACATGCATACATGCATACATATGCACATATGTACATATGTACATATGCATTATATATATATATGTATATTTTTATTTATTTATTTAGTGATTTATTTACGTGTGTGTGCGTGTTTGTGTTTGTATGTGTCTTTGTATAGTGTGTGTGTGTATATACACAAATACACGATATGCTGTAGCTGGCCATCAATGTTCTCCTTGTGTAAGCACTGCTTCCCGACACCGGCCAGGTCGAGCCAAGCATCGACAGCAGCCCCAAGGACCCGCCATGCGCGTGGCATTCTGTCAAAATGCAGACTCAGTCAATTTTGCTAATCGTTAGTCAAACACAGTCTGAACCCCATTTGCATGCCGAGAGTTCGGTTTGGGCACATGAGAGTAGGAGTGGCACTCGGAAGAAACAATAGTGGTGGTGGTGCAGCAGCAGTAGCGGCAGTGGCAGCAGCAACAGAAGCAGTAGCACTAGCCTTGGCCCTGCACTAGCACCATCACCAGTAGCAGCAGCAGGAGTAGTAGTATGTTTTTGTTGCCACGTGGTTGCATCGACACCTTGGCGAATTTTGAACTTCGCAATCGTGCTTGGCTTTGCCCGTCGAAAGCGTCGTTGTTGGGGGCTTCTTACCCTGGAACGCATTGTGATTTATCGCTGTTCACGGGCTTCGTGTGTTCAGACCACGTGAAGTACCACATCTTGGCCGAAAGCAACGCTATCTTCGATCTGGGTCGGAGAAAACTTCCAGCTTCCGTTCAATGTGGCATGGTATCTCGCTGCCATGGCGGCTAACATTCGCGAACAGAGCCGTGCAAATATTACGGTGCAACGAGGCCTTTCTGTTGCTTGTTGCTCACCTGTGTTGTTGAACGTTGGTTGTTGCTGGTGGATGCTTACTATTTATTGTGCGTTGTTTGTTGGCCGATGGTAGTCGTTTCTTGGGCAGTTGCTGGCTTCGGGTAATGTGAATGTGCATGCATGTGCGTTCGGCATCATCAAACTATGTATTTTTCTCTTGGTCACAAAGCAAGAAAACATGCAAACAAATGGGACCACCTTGCAAAATACGGTACGAAGGCGTTCTTGACACCTTTTCACAGCATCCAGGGAACACTGTGAGAGTACATCGCCGTAATCGTCGTAGCTGCCGCACCAGCAGAAGCTGTGTCAATGATAGCGCCTACGACATTTGAAAAGACACTTTGCTTTGCTAACAGCCTTGGCATGGGCAGGATGAGTACGAGCGGTTGTGCTTCCTTGCCGGCTGGGCAGTCTTACGGGAAAACGAGCACTACGCGCGAAACTCAGCCTGCCCAAGTCGGTGCAGATGTTCGTCCGATCCACTAGAGTCTCTAGAGGTAGGTTACACACTCTAAAGAAGCTAGAATAAGGAGCCTGTTTTCGAAGCCATCCTATGCTTCGCTGTCTTGCAATGCCTCTTTGACATGACTGCGAGGTGCAATGGTTGAATGTGGTGCCCTCAGCCGGATTGCAGTTGAACAGTTGGAAGCCCATAGTCTTAATGTATTACATGTCTCGCTTTATTGTATAACCTCCTTCAGAATGATTAAGTAGACTCTCGGGGGGAGAGGAAAGCCCAATACATATTCTCAAAACTACAAAGTTCGAAGCCCAAAATGGGGGGGGGGGGTCCTTAGAGGGTTCCTTTAAAGGGTGCTATAAGGGCTACTATAAGGGTTCTATAATAAACAATCAGATGCCCCTTTGCATTGGTATGTACACACGTCTAGACCTGTTTGTCCGCCTCTCACTCTCTGTCTCTCGCTGCGCCTGTCTGTCAGTGTACATATGCCTAAAACAGGTGCGATCTACATACATACCTAGCTACAGGACCTGTTTGTCTGTGTATGCATGTGTAGTATTCTGATTCTTGCAATATGCACACTGTAGGACCCTATTCTTCATGTTTAGTACCGCAGATCCGGTTAAGAGGCAGGTTTCCCTTGGAGCTGAGGTCTGGCCTGGGCCGAGACATCCCAGCTTTCAAGATGCACAGGCCTGCCGCTGCACGTTTGAGTCAGAGGTTTAGGGTTTAGGGATGTTTAGGGTTTAGATCAACAGAAGGGAAAAGCTGAAGGGGTGGCGTAGAGAGAGCCGGCGGCCAGGCACAGACAGGTGCTAGCGGCAGCACTCCGCGACCACTCGCCAGGCAGTCGCTCTTCGCCATGTCATCGCACCTGATTACAATGACACCCTTGAGGCTTCGGCTTGAAGGACAGATGAACTACCTTCACTGCCTGGAGGCCTGCTAAGCGACCCGAAGTGGCATCTGCACAAGGAAATCTTCAGAGACGCGTGAAGCCTTCCAAGTGCAAGCGACAACCAGGTCGATGACGATGATGATGAAGGATGACGTAGACCATGAATGTAAAGATGGACAGGATGAGGCAGGAGAGATTGCGCCTCATGGATAGACGATGATGATAACAAGGAGAAGCCAACCGAAGATGCTGGAGGAGGTGAACCACAATGGGCATGAGGACCTGTATTACCAAGTTCATCGTGCTGCGGCTGAAGAAGGAAAAGAAGCAGCACGTATTATTGGTGATGTTGATGATGACAGCGAGGATGAAGATGATGATGTTCATGATGAGGATGATGATGAGGGAGGATAGGATTTGGGTTACCATGATTGGGATGATGTTGATGATGTGTGTTGCCATGGTGCCGATTGCGATGGTATGGTGATGATGCACAAACACCAGCATTCATCAGAGCAAGGGAAATGAATCAAAGTCGCGTACTGATAAAGCTAGCAGGGGTATTAGAGTAGCGCTTTGGGGTATGTTATATTATAGTATCAATAGGGAACCCCCAAAATAGTATTGATCATTGTCAGAAGCTAATGGCCGGCAGGTGGGACCGCCAGACAAAGTGGGTCGTCAACAGATTCTGGCCATGACGGGCAGCACACCTCATCTGTGCAACGAGATAGGCTTCAGCCTTACGGAGCATTGAGTTCCGGTAGCTCAAAAAAGCTGACGTGAGTCTAGCGAAGTAGCGACACTGAGACACCTTGGCAACAGCCAGAGATGCCCTGCCGAGGTTTGATGGACCTGAGCCGTTTGCAGCGACGAGGTGAAGGTGTCGAAGGCTCTGCTCAGCTCGGTTCTACCCAGAGTTTGAGGCCTCTCCTGCTTTGAGCGCCTTGTGCAGGTCTTGCGCCAGATGGGGAGGCCGGAGTCCAGAGTGGTTGAAGCCGGCTCTAAGGGCGGGTCTCTTTCATGTCCGAGGCTGCCTCAGCTTTGCCTGCGGTCTACGACGTTAAAGTGAAGGCAGGAGGCCCTAGGCCCAGGAAACTCCCTCTCAAATCTGGTTCTTGATAGGTCTACTCCATGGGAGAGCGCGTGGTGCTTAGTGCCAAATGGAACGAAGCCGGCGATTTTATTCTCTTGAACACAAGGCCGGGCGCGTGTTTCAATGCACGGTCAGCTCGATTCCTTTTACCGTTGGACAGGCCTTATGCCCATGCTGTATCCGGAAGTCAAAAGACTGGAGGCCGGAATTGAAAAAGAAATATATAATGTATACGGCTATATGTACACCTAACACACACATACACCCACACACACACACACAACATATATATATATAATACATGCATACATACAGAATGTTTATATCACCCCTACCCTACCTTGCTAAACCCCTCATAGCGCACCCGGTAGAGCTATGAGCTGCTGTGCCTTCCATGGAGGACAAAGCGAGGCTTCGCAGGCCGGGCACTGCCGAAGTCACACGTGCCGCCGCTTAAGATGGGGGGCTTGGGTTTAGTGGTTTGGGGGTTCAGGGTTTAGTGGCTTCGGGTTTAAGCGTTTAGGGTTTAGTGGTTTAGGGTCTCGGGTTTAGGGCCGTTTGTTGCGCCATGTTGCACCTACGCCTTCAAAACTTAGTTACATAGGAGTATGTGTTTGTTCATACCCTTTAATCTATGTATCCATTGATCTGTAATATCTATTTATTTGTCTATCTCTCTCCACCGCACTCTCAAGATCAACGGTTGCAGGGCTTACAATTTTTAGGTTCCGGATTTGCAAGAACGCAGTTTCCAGATTTGCAAGCACCAGGTTTCCAGCTTCTAGATGGTCTGGAGGTTTGGAAACTTGATGGGAAGGGCATTCATCTGGAAACTTGGTTTTTGCAAATCTGGAAAGTATGTCTTTACAAAGTGTACAACTCGGGGCAGTTATTGTTTGAGTATGCTGATGTTCGACCAAGACAGTACTATTACAACATGCTGATACGTCTAGGCCGTAGTAGTCATCATCGGGATTCGAGTGCCACCTTTACATGTTCTGAAGCCGCCACATGGTGTTTCTGAACTGGGCGCCTTTATTGCCCATGTCTGCATGATTCTGAAACTGACCAGGACTACATTCGTTCATGCATGACTCAGTGTAGCCCACATACACATCAACCATGTAAGCCCGACTGCCTTAGGCATTGCCTCTGGCGTTCTTCGTGATCGTAGCACGCACAAAATTAGCGGTCATGGCCACGTGAGCTTTTGGTGCCTTTCCGGAAAGTATGAGGATGTGTAGTGAGGTTTGTAGAGTTCTTGGATACACTTTTGTCAAGATTATGAGGGAGATTGGCGAACCGACTAATTACAATGCACCATTGAGGCAGAAGGTTTGCAAACATTTCAGAGGCGAGACAAGTCTATCAGAAGTGATATTCACATACGTGCTTTGCTGCATATGCCAACATCCGCATGCAAGCACAGCAAAATCAGTATTCGCAGAGCTTGCGGAATGCAAGAGTGCTGCATACATACAGACGTACGTACATACATACATACATACATATATATATATATAGACATGTGCGGGCGCAAGCAGACATGCAAGTAGTTGTGTGGAGGAAGACATCGCGATCCCAGCTGGGACTACCATTTATGTGCAGATCTTCACCCTTGTATGCATATCATATATACATATATACATACATGCATTCACAAAAATCACTTGGTGTAGTTCTTACATGTATGCGAGGTTAATTATGCGCGGGGTTGCTTAGCCATGTGCATACACCTGTGACTGCCATTACTATTGGTACGCAGCCCATTCAGGCCAGTCTACAAGCCGGTGCATCCTTCGAGGACGAAGCAGAGATGCCAGCTGTAGCTGCACATGTTAATGCTGACGAGATGCTGAGTTCATGGCCATGTATGCATGTATAGTGTGTATGTGTGTATGTATGTATGTATGTATGTATGTATGTATGTATGTATGTATGTATGTACGTATGTACATACCTACCTTTATGCAAATGTTAGAGTTGCACATTGATGCCTGCAGTTGCGGTGCTGATTGATCGCAGTGCGCGTCTCGATTATTGGACCTATACCTGCAGTTGCTATAAACGTGTGCAAGCAAACGCAGACATCTACATGCTCATACATCTACGAACTACAGATACTGCTCATGTAACCATCGAAGGCTGTTAGGATGTTAATCTGTCGGGCTAGCAGGACCTTCTCCTACGGCCGGCTCCAGATCTGTGCAGCACTGAGATCAGAAGTCCCAGGCAGCTGAAGCCGCGACGCATCATCTCTGCCAGGTCCACCAAAATGGAGCTCCTGCTGCTGGATGCATCCGCCTTGGATGGGTCGTCTGCTACTTCACCAAGTCCCCATCGCAGCTTGCTCAGGCAAGAACCTTGGACGTCGTCTCCGTTTTCGATGGTCATTTCGCTTTCACCACGAAGGCGCCGTGGTTGTTCGATGACCCCTTAAATAACAAAAATACACATAAGATTAAGGCCCCTTATAGTTTCAGGTAGGTCCTTAATGCTCTAGGCTTCTGCTCCCTTGAGCTGCACCTTCTCCGCAGGAAAGTCCCTTCCTCATTTTCACAGAAGAGCCGGGGCCCCGATGGCAAGATGATGCTCAGGGGCTCAATATATTATTATTATTATATAATTACTATAGTTATAAACTAAGAAACCCCCCCAAAAAAAAAATAGTATAGGTAATTACTTAGGCCCCTATAAAGGCTTTACACCGGACACTCCCAGGTGGTCGGACTCGGACTTCCTGGCGAGTGGTGGTGAGGCGCGCCGTGCTGTGCCCAAAGACCGGGCCCACGACCAGCTTGTGATCGCGTTACCTAGACCGCCCCGGCTGCCCAAACGACATGGGTGGGGAGCCTTTGAAACAAGCCTCGGCGCGGAAGGAATTGAGAAAACGTGCAGGTGGATGGAAATACGATGGAAAAATTGAGCAACTCTCGTTTCTTGAGACTACTGATAAGGGATCAATGCCGCCGCCTCCTCATAAGCAATCGTGATAAGAAGAACGGAAAGCAAGGAACAAGCTGACGGAAAGAGGATGCCATGCTGACGGCTACAATAAGACAAGAAACGGTCATCAGACAACCAGAGATTCCCCCCAGATATACTTGTTGGAATGTGGACTTTGCCTTCCACCGCCCGCCAACAAACTGGAAGAGGAGTTGGTTTTCGCACCCTTCAACCCCTGCAACTGCTTCCACAGGTTTTCTGCGACATATGGCCACGGGCATAGTAAGAAAGCCAGCCATGCACCAGCCAGGGAATGCTAAATCACACAACTCTGAGAAGAGGAGCTGTGCCGTGCAGGACCATCGCGTGTACATTTGGCATCGTCGTCACGGTCGCTTGATTCGGCGGTTGTGTGGCACCTGTCTCAGGGTGCCAACAGACACAGTCCTGGATTGGATGACAATGTAGCTGGAGTCACTTCTTTCCTCATTTGATGTGCGCATGTTTTCATCTTGCAATCTCTGCAGCTACCTGGCTCACAGAGGGTACTGCCTTCCTTCGGTTGCTGGTTTTGCTGGAACCCCAGCATTTCTTCCATACATGATGTAGAGCACTGCGACCCTGCCTAACTCTTCCGCAACTTCAGGAAAGTTGGCTGGCACTGAGACAAAATGCACCGGCCCGAGCTGCAAAACCGAGATCGAAGCTCTTGAACTAATTGAGAGATGCAGGGGTCTGAACCATTGCTACTCTCATCCCCTTTGCCCCTTCATATAACCATCATAACAATAACAATGATAATCATCTTAACAACACTACTACTTATAATAGTTATATTCTTTTGTAAGAATAGCCCCTTCATCATTCTCCTATGGTTTCTGGTGGCCGAGGTTGTGCATTTGGGCCATCCTGGCCGTGACTGCATGCTCTCTTTGGTCCGTGAAGGGAAAGACTCCTGAGCGCTACATCCTGAGCGAGGAGCCATGCCTTCAGCTGCGTAATAGGGTTTAGGGCTTTTTTAGGGTTTAGGGTTTTAGGGTTTAGGGTTTTAGGGTTTTAGGGTTTAGGGTTGTAGGGTTTAGGGTTTTAGGGTCTAGGGTTTAGGGGTTGCAACTGTTGAGCCTGGACTCTCCGCGATGTTCATGTCAGGAGCCCAAGATTGAGTTGAGGAAAGGCTTCCTATCCAAGACGGAGGCATCCGCCCTTCGTCGCCTCGCAGAGAGCGAGATGTACCAGGACATCGGTGATGCAGAAAGTGGGAGCAAGTCCTCGGCGGATACTGCCGGAGGCGAAGAGCTCTCGGTGCTCAATATCTCTGATGACTCCGAGGATGGGAAAGAAGAATGGAGAGTTCTGGAAGACTTTCTTCAGCATGCCACGACTCTGGCGGGATGGGAAGGGCCGCCCCCTCCCGTTTATGTGACTCGCTGGGAGCCTTGGAGACCTGCAGGAGCCCTAAACCGATCTGGGCCTCTGCACCTGGATGCACGCCTGCATCCGGAGAGGCGCCAGACGCTTCTCGCGTATCTCACCGGGACGGGAGATCTGGGGAAGGATGGTGGAACTGTCTTCCCTTGCCTGGAGACTGACGATATGGATGCAAAGGAAGTGACTCGAAGGCAGAAGCTTTGCTCCCGAGCTGCGCGGCACCTGGAGCATGCACATGAGAAGTTGATGACACTTCGCGCGAAGGGTTTGGAATTACCTGAATCCAAGCAGTACGAGTTCTTGGAGGAGCATCCCGAACTTGCAGGCCTTCCAGCAGAAACTGCAGAAGGCATCAGGCCGATCAACTGGTTGTGGCTACCGGGATATGATGGTCTTGCTGCTGAGGCTCCAGGAAAGCTTCGTGCAGAGCCTCTGCATCTCTTGGCTGAGGCAATGTGCCGTGGTAAGGCGCCTGGTTTGAAAGTCTCATCGAAGGACGGGGATGTTTTGCTCATGGATGTGATGGAGCCCAGCGATTCGAAGAAGCGCAAGCTCCCGAAGGTGGATTGGCGCTTGTGGCATGCTGGGTGTAGTCCCATGGATGGCAACGGTTACAGGATTACGGCACAGATCTTTTTGCATGAGGTGCACTCTCTGAGGGCAGATGCTCAACATGAGGAGTGCGAGGGGTCACGCAATGCTCGTGCTTGCAATGTAGCTAGTCAATAGGACAATAGGGTCCTAGAGTTTCTTGGCACAGTAGAGGGGCACAACAGCTGGAGCTGAAAAGGGAATCTGGCTGACGTCGCACAGACATTGCAGTGGAAGCGGCCCCCCGGGTTGATCTCCAGGTCATGCTGAACCTGTCAATGCTGTGAGCTGGAACGGTCCGGAGCTGAGTGGGGAACAGCAGATGGCAGAAGCCGACATCATCCCGACACCCTGTATACCACTTAGAGAGCACGAGACGTGCGGTCGTTATAGTTCAATAAAAGAGTGAATCGAAGGCAGGAAGACGTAGCGTCTTGAGAACAGAAGCAGACCCGCAAAATGGCTGCCGCCGCCTTCAACGCAGGCTCTTGCTTTCACAGTGTGTGTAAGATGCTGTGATCGATGGACCCACGCTTTTCCCATATGCTTCCTGCTACTTAACGCTAAGCCCGATTCGCTCGCTTCATTGTACAGGGCCTCGATCAAGCAAGGTCGAGGCTTGCTGGCTTCAGCTTCCGATGACAACGGCATCATCATTTGGGCTGCCGCAGGCGTCGGCAATCTGAGAGTTTTTCAGGAAATCAAGTAACAGCAGAGTCTGTACCTCGATAGCACGATCCTCAGTAGAACTCGGAAACTGCAGAACATGCATGGACAGGCGCCAAAGAGCGTCCGCAACACATGGCTGCGTGGCCCTTACTGTGGCAGCATCTAAGAGTGAGTTCGCTGCACTTTTGCCCCGCCTCCGCTTTTCGCACAAAGACGTAGTGCCGGGTGATTGCTCCACAACCTTAATGATCAGAAGAATCCTCATGCCATGTAGTAGGGTCCAAATCCGGAAGCTAAATCAACGTCTGCCCAGGCGAGTTCGTGTCAATCGTCCATTTCTGCTCTTTGCTCCAGCTGACTAAAGCCCGCGACGGGCGAGTGTGGGCCTTGGCTTAGGGTTGTCTTGCATGGCAGCCTATGCAGCAAGAGATCAGCGAAGTTCCGACAAAGTCGCGAAGCCCTGAAGTTCTACGTCGCAAGCCGCAGAGCCGACCCCGGAGTTTAGCCGAGGGAGGAAGGTGAGGAAGGCCTAGGCGTGGTTGGGCCAGACTGACGCCTCGAGGATGAGGGGTTCAGGGTTTAGGGGTTTAGGAAAACATCTCGAACTCGCCCACACCCTTCTTTCAGCTTTCCAGACCCCCCAGTCGTCTTTCCAGACCCTCCAGTCGACGTCTCATGCAGGACTGGAAAAGGTTTCGAAAGCTCTTGCAGCCAACTGGGTTGATGCTAGATTCTTAAAGGCTTGATGACAGGGTATCTAGTTGAGAGCTGCGGCGTGAGGGTGTCTCGTTGAGGCTGGCGCTGCTGTGAGCCTTGAAAGGTGTCCGGAAGCTCGGTTTATCACATTCATGACAATCCGTCGTGGGATTATAAACATGAACATGGCTGTGATCGTGAAAGCGCATGCTCCTGCACAGCAGCACTTGTCGAGAAAGCAAAACGAGGCAGGTCGCGGCTGAAGCCCGAGTAGATGCGCCGGAATCTGGATGTGCAGCATCTTGGCATCCACGTGCCGACCAAAAGTCCGAAGATGCAACTGGTGCCAGGAGGGGGGATGACATGCTCGCGACTGAAAGCTGACCACCTATGTCCTACTTGGAAAGATGTGCAGTTCTACCAGAATCATCTTGCAGAAGGATAGCCCTTGGATACATACGAGGTACTAGTCCTAGCGCGGCCCAGAACGTAAGTCACCCAGAACCCTCTCATACTCTTGCTGCTGCTCTTGCGCATGTTGCTCCTCAGGCTCCTACGACGCCGCATGCTGTGCCGCGGTATAAATCGAAGCGATATTATGCGATCTTGACTGAGGGCACGTGCGTGGGTCCAAAGCCGTAGAGGCTCTCGGTACCCGCCCCACGCTCCCTTACAAGGCATTGGCAAAGAGTTTCGCCACTATCATCCAGAGCTTTCGCAGCCAGGACTTACGCCCGAACCGGACGGCACCGCCCGGCCGGACGGACGAAGCCACAGAGCACGTCCTCGGGTCGCAAGGTTTGCAGCTGCCTGACTGTGACCAGCCGAGGCATCGGAGCCGTGCCAAAGCTTGATGCCTGCCTTGTGCAAGGATACAACAGGAGCCCTTTTGCGCGCAAAGGCCTGCCCCAGCCCAGCGCCGACGCTCACATCGGAACAGGGATGAAGCCGGGAAGTGTCATTGATCATCCTCTTCCGCGCCCCGCCCTGGCCTCCAACGTAGCTTCCCAATCTTGTATCTGGTACTCCTTGCGAATTGCCGCGCGGACACGAGGTCCTGGCAGTGCACGCCAACATCTCGGCAGCCCGGTGGAGCGGGTGCTTCACCGAGCACCAAGCCCACGCACTAGCACAGCACGCCGCCTTGAACGAGTCAGCTCCAAGATGGGAGGCCGTCTTCGCGTTCCTCGATACATCGTCGCCTTGCCAGCATGCATCCGTATCCTCGACGCCCTCGCCGCGGCATTTTGGGCCCATGCCCGGATCCGGCTGCACAAGGGCAAGACCCGGATCTGGAATGCTGCCGGTGTAGAACCACCCAATATCGCTGACCTTGCAGTCGATTCCGAACCCGTTTGGGTTGGCGACTGGTACCTCCCCCCCCAATCGGGAGACGACTTGCAGGCGGCATGGTTCTTGCTGCAGTTCTGTGCCGCCCCCTGCGCCAACTATGTGCTTCGCATCTTGCCCCCGCACCTCATGGCAGACTACGCCGCAGCGCACGATGCTGCAGTTGCCCGGTATTTGGCTGCTCTGGTTGAACACGGCGACCCCAGCGCTTTGGTGGACTGCCGTCCCGCGCCTGTTGCGGCCCTCGGTCACCGCTTGGGTTACACGCAGGCCCGGCCTACTGGCAGTCGTCGCCCAGCGCGCCTTCGCATCCCCCCCCCCAGTTGGGCTCGGAGATGGACCAGTGCCCGAGCTGCGCGAACTCCTTGCCGATGTGCACTGGGACTCTGTCTAGTCCTGTGGTTGCGCCGGCGCCGCACGTTACAGGTAGCTCGCAGTAGCACAGGGAACCTCGATGCAGACACGCCAACGGCTAAAGTAAAAAGCAAAATCGTGGCACAGCGACAGGCGACGTGTTCCGTCGCTTGGTCGCACGTGTGCTCGTCAAAGACTGGACGGGCACATTCGAACGAACTACGGGACCTTCCCAGCTCGCCCTGCAAACTCGGGCGGGCATGGACGCACTTGCCGCGTGCGTGCGAGCATCCTTCGACGCCAACGCCGACACAGTCGTGGTTTCCTTGGATGGCCGATGCGCATACGACTGCATGTCTCGCGCCGCCTTCCTCCCCTAATTACGGGACGTCGCCCCTGAGTTGTTTCCTTTCGCTCGGCTCTTTTATGGCCGGGCCTCTGCACACTGCTGGTGGGATACGGAGGGCATATGTCGGGACGTATGCCAAAGCGAGGGCAGGCGACCCCTTAGCAGCCGCCCTCTACGCCCTACAGTAGGCCAACATGACGCATTTGTCCAAGCGTCGACTTCGCTCCACCACGAGGACGCATTACTAGGTGTTTTTTGGACGACCTTTACCTGATCACGAAGCGAAAGCGAGCCCGCGAGGCCCGTGACACCATCGCCAATGTCGTGCAGGAGCATCGTGGCATCACGTCCAACAACGGCAAGACCAGAGCTGGCAGCGCTACATCGCGCTACAAAATCAGCCCCCGGCCGGGGAGCAGGCGTTTGGGCGAGCCGACCGAACTCGCGGAATTGCAGCGCAGCGGCCAATGCCTCCTCGTCCTGGAATGCCGACTCACAGGGGCTTGTCCGACAGCTCGTCCGCGTCAGGGACCTCCGAGCGCCACCAGCCCTTTTCGAGCTGCCGCCTCCACCGCTCGGACGCAAAGATAGGCGTGCGGTGTGCTGTCAACGACCAAACGGTGTTTGCGCCGCGGACTTTTCTTTCTTTTTCTGTTTTTATCTCCCTCTCTCTCTCTCTCCCTCTTTCTCTTTCTCTCTCTC